TCAGTATTTAGATACCACTATAGAAAAGTACTGTTTAGAGCCAGTATATGTGAAACAATAGAACAAAGAAAACTTCTCGTCGAATTTCAATGAAAACTTTTCTCGAAGCCTCCAAAGAGACCTCGTGGGTGAAAAACTCGTTTGTAATGAAACTTAAAATAGAACTGCAAAGAACAGTTAAGATCTCATGATGATTCTCAACCTATGAAGGTTATGATCAGGTTATTGTTGCATCTAAGGTTCGCACTTCATATATTTGATTTTCTGAAAAATAAAATGAGTAATTTAAGTTTGCTGGATTTGTTCTAACTAGAAATATCTGTGGGATGGTGGTACAATATTTTTCAGTAAACATCATTGTGGATCATGTTGAAAATTTTTCTATACGACTCTCACATAGAATTAAATATTGAAAGCTGAAAATCTTTAAACTTGAATGGCTTTTAGTCCAGTGCTGAGGCTAAGCTGTTCTGAAATAAACTTTAATCTAATGTATTGTACTTTGAACTGAAGTTTCTGAGATAAAGTTGATCTGCCATGCCTAGCAACTTAAAAAAAAGTCGAGTATAGGTTTTTCTATCAGCCCAAACTAATTTAACTATTTTAATTTCTCCTAGACTCAAAAGAATGGGGTCTACTAGAAACGGAAATTCATTTGTGTTTGTTTGTTCGTCTGTCTGTAACACAGTGGTACAAACGACTGTTCCTATGGTCAGATTTGGTATTGCTATGGTATAAATGACTACCTCTACGGCATAAATAACTATTTTATACTATTAAAAACACTGGTTTTGCCAAAGGCCTCATCGTTATCTTTTAAGCCATCTCTCGTATTTTCTAGCACTTTTCTTAACGCACGCTTATACCTAGATTTACTTATAAATATAGCTACATACCGTCAGTCTATGGTCAAGTATATTGATTCTCAACGCTCATCGTAAGTTCATTGAGACATTGAAAAATAAAAATATATCATACTTAAGAGTAACGGACTAAAAAGCGACATACATTCACTCAGAAGCTAGACCTTGAGCGCTTGTCGGTCGGACTGTATGTTAACAACTATCATTAAGAGTCAACTACTGTAACTAAGTGTCCAACGGTGTGTTAGATTGATTTTTCAAATCTACATCTGCATAATACCAGGCTCACATCTATTCCACATCCACTGGTGAACTACGAAGTAAAATTTGTTGACTCTAATACGAGGCTTCGTAAAAAAAAATGGACTTCAATTCCAAGAAACTCAGAGAATTTGGTTGACTAGTTTAGCGACGATTTTTGAAAAATCACAGAAGCGCTGACTAAAAACGTTACGACAAAAACTTGATAACTCTCCGACTTCAAATTCGGTTTCTAAGCATTCTGGTTTTGTAACTTCGACTCTGTTCAAGTCAAATATCGATGTTCCATGCAGTCCAGTAACACCCACCCACATTCTGTATAGTCTCAGTTTTTTGCGTGCTTAAAATGTCGGTACTGAATGTTCTCGTACGTAACATTCCGTGCTCATCGTTCCATCTCCTGAATGAGAGATCCTAGCCCCATCCCCTACTATAAGAGTTGCTATGGAATTGTTCCTAAACCTTTTTTTTTGCTAGAGGAGTTAACTCCGGAGTTGTCGATCTCTGATCTCTCCATCATGGAAGCTACCATGTCTCAATCATTGATGTTCGTGCGTTCCAGAAACGAAATATCTATTCTATCTATTATTACAATAACAATCATTTTCTCGTGGGAGTTTCGGTGTATTGTTGTGAAAGGCTCCTCTAATTCTGTTTTTTTATTCGATTGTGTCTTCCACTTATAAAAATATGCCATAATTTGTCACTATTGATGTGCTGCAATCTGGTGAAATTAAAATTTTCCTCTGGAGATATTTCTTGTATAACTAATTAGCATAATTTCCAATGTATTTGTAGTTCTTAGAATTGTTCAACATTTGATAACACTCTGTAAAATTTGATCTTATGAAGCTAATAATATTCTCAAGAAGTGTAAATTCTTCTAGGAGAAAGAGATCGACTGAAAGGCGTCAAAATTATTCGTATATAAAATTTCAACTAAACCAAACCACTTAATGTTCTCATATGTACCACTCTCTATCTTGCAAATAATCGAAAAAGAAATTATTCTGATGATAAGCCGAAAGAGTTTTCGTTTTATTCGAATGATAAAGTGTTTCCAAATATTGTTACTTACCTTTCAGAAAATCTGCGGAGCGACGTGCTGATTGTAAATTTAGATATTGCTTTCGTTGTGTATTCGAAAGAAAATGTTCGCTCTTCAGTAACAACTCACGAAGATCTTCAATCGTATTAGACTGACATTGAACCATTACAATTGAAACAACAAGTACCAAAGCAATGCAGACGAGTTTTGTCCAATACATTACCATGACGAAAGGACTTAAAAATACACGAGCAATAAAAAGTACCTTAGTATAGGTTAATTTGAAGCGATAATGTACGTCTGAAATATATGGTTTACATCGAGTATTAATACTGAATCAATGCGTAGGCGAACGAGGAATGAAGAGAGAGTGGGACAAATTACATTTCATATTGAATGCGTATCAATGAAAAACATGTTTACTAGTTAAATGCAATTATTTTTTTATCAAATTTACTATCTAATTTTTGACACAGCTATGTCCTTCGCAATTCTAATAAATATGCATGGCTTTGATTTGATCATTAATCAAAAAATTGTTAGCTTTTTGGTGACTGCTTCACCATTTGCTGTCATTATGCGATGAATAATTTATCTATTATTCATGAATTACATATTTTGAAATTTTGAAATCTGATTTATGATGTTTCATAAATGATGTGGCGAATTTTAGGAGCGCCTCTGAGTATGAGTGTGGGTCTGTTTGGCAGGATTAACCACACCCACACCCACACACCGACTAAATCGATATGAACGAAACATAGCTTGAAGATCGTGAGCTGCACATAAAGATGAGCGTAATTGATTTGAATATTTTTTTTTGTTTGTCGAAAAAAAGACCTGGATTCCAACCAGTGTCCAAAATAATAACACGATTAGCAGAAAAAAGATTTACTTCCAAACGAACAACAGTTGTTGAGATTAACAATAGACGACTACGAATATTAATAAAGTCATTGAATAATTTAATATAATCCGCTGTTTGTTTTTGTTGAAACTTGACCTATAAATTTTAAAAAAAATCATTTTCGTTTAAATAAAAGAAATAATGAATTTGACCATCTATTCGAAAACAATCAACACCTTTTCCTCATTTTAATGATTAAGATTGTTCACTCCTATAACATTCAATAAAATACGGTTGAAGAAGTCATGGATGCTAATAAAAAAGAATATATTTTATAAAATAATTGCAACAAACTGTTCAAATCCTCATCAAATATTGATAATCATTAAGCAATTTAGTCATATCTAATATATAAAAGAAAAAATAAATCAAATTTCTATTAATTTAGATTGAAAATTTATCGAGCTTAGCATTCGTAGCATCGATATTCTGAGTATAAGTTTCATAAAGTTTTCTTTGTATTGGTCGATATTTGATTTTAATAACTAGAAAAATAAATAAATATTTTAATTGAGAATAAAGTCGAGTTCATTCTTCATTAGCAATATTCAAATTGCAGTGCTAAAAATGAACGTAAAACATCCAAACCTCATCGATGTATAATAGTCTATAAACGTCTATTGAGTGCATAGACACGACGTCGTATATATGTAACATCATTTAGTGAACTATCTCAGTGATGACCAGATTCGATCGGCATTCGAAATTGATCAGAAAACTCACGATTTGTACCTTAAATAAAAATTTTTTTGTTTTATTAATTTTGATTTAATTCGACAAAATAATTAAACTGACCAAGAAAATGTGCTTTACAAAAATTAACCATAGCAAAATATTCTTTCAAATTATTTCGCATTGGTGTGCCTGTTAACGCAATACAACGATGTGTTCGAACTTTATTCAATATATAAGTGATTGCACTTCTTGGATTTTTACTAGAATTAATAATAAAATTAAAATTAAAAAATAATTTCTTATAAGACTTACATGATATGTCCTTCATTACAAATGATTAAATCGGGACCTGCATTACGTAATTAATTACCCAAAAAAAAAACAAATAAGAAAAATAAATAATATTAAGTTGATAATTTCATAGGATATTTCTCAATATTAGTTTGTTCAATCAGTAACGATATTTTCTTGTTTATTTTGAAAAAAATTTCTAGAAAGATCCTCAGAATTATCATCAATTGTATAGGTTAATTGACGATATATTTCATAACCCATCAATAGAATTCCAACATTTTTGTACCATTAAAAAAAAAATAAATTTATTGAATTGTAAATTATGACAAGTACTCACATAACGAACAAAAATTCTCTCGATTTTCTTTTCAAATATCATCATTATTGAATAAATGCACATTAATTGTTGGCTCAAGATCATTTAACTAATTATGGAATTCATTGTTTCAACTAAAAAAGAAATTATGAAAATTTTCTTTGTTTCTTCTTTTACTTTGAAGAAAAAATTTCAAATGAAGATAGATTTTATAAATAAAAGAAAATGTATAATCATACTTAATAGTATAGTATTTATTGAACATAAAACAAGCACTGGATGAATATGCGCCAATTGGAAATGGCAAGAAAGTGTATGAAGAAGTACAATCGTTATAAACGTCTTGCCTAATCCCATACAATGAGCTAAAATAGCACCCAAACCACTTTGACCAAATTGAGATTCATTATCAATACTAGCTCTTATTTGACTTGTTGATTTAAATACTTGATTCCATAAATATTTAACATCATCAACTAAACTGATAATGATTAAAAGAATATTTTGGAAAATATATTAATTTGTTACTTTGATGAGGCTTCAACTGAACAACAATTAAGGAAGAAATTTCAATAATAATATCATTTGTTGGTAGATTTGTTTCAAGAACTACAGCTTTCGAAGTTTCGATATCTTTATTAAAACAAATAAAAATGAAAATTTCATAACAGAAAATAATATAAATACTTATAATGTGTGGCTATTGCAGTTCAGATTGCTGCATACCTTGTTCTTGATCTTCAATATATTTTTTCATTCAATCTTGAGGAACAAATGAATTACTTTCATTTTCATTGATTAATTTCATCTACTGATAAAGCATAAGACAATCCATTCGAATATCGTTATCACTTTTAAAATCATAATCTACAAAAGAACATATCAATTACATATGTTCAATTTTTATTCTTTTTATAAACTTACTTTTATATTTCAGTTGAATTTCAAACGCTTGGCTATAGAAAAAAAAACATATAATATAGCATCTTAATCAGAAATTTTATGAAATAACTTACCGAATGATTGCCATACTGAAACCTTTTTTCGAAGGGTTTTCGACTACAGGTAGATTAAGACGGGCTTTCACCTTCCTACCGATTTCATCATCTGTCCATGCAGCGAGTTTTGATAGTTGACCATTCGTATCGATCTTGTAATTTTGCTGATCTATTGTTCAAAACCAAAATAGAATAAGAGCTGTCGATTCTTAATGGTTTCTATTTACATACTTTTCAATTCACGACTTTTCCTTTGTATAGCTTGATAACGATCTTCTCCGACATACTGTCGAATATAAGCATGCTGAGGATACCAACGACAATGTTTCACTTTCGAATTGTTACTGCTCTGTCAATTACGCAAAGCACCCTTACAATAAAAACACCTTACAATGGTTTCCTCGCCTATAGAGAAAGAAAGAAAAACAAACAAAAAAATTATTATTAGTTTCATCGATAAATATATTCAAAATTTAACCTGTATAAAAGAAACCAGCATAAATAAATGATTCAACAGCAGGTAATGGATTTTTTTCTGCATGACACCAATTTTGAAATGTTTCATATTTACGATATGCTCATGAATAAGCAGTGTTTACTGCTTCAACAATTGTTTGTGTATTGGGCTTAGTCGTAATTGTTATGTTTGTTGTAGATAAATTAGATAAACTTTTTCCGTTAATAATACAAATGGACATTGAGGAGATTTTAATCGATGTGTTTTTGATATGGTCGATCAATTTTTGTTCACGGTATTTCTTCGTTGCGACATTTACATCTAGCCAGTCGTTCGCATTCACACCCAAATTTTTATGAGACAAAAAATGAAAACTTCTTTTGTATGGGTACATGAAACACTCATGCATCTCGTCATGCTCATATTCCTACACAATATACAGAAAGAGAAAAGTTATACACCTTTGCGATCATAGGAAAAAAAATATCACTTATGCATAGAAAAAACAATAACACGATCAATAAAGAAGACGACATTAAGATAAAGATAATACTCTTTATCAAAATTTGAAACAAGTTTGAAAATGAAAGATAACAAACAAGTACGGTTTATCTCAGTACATACGTGTATTTGTTGTATATCTGTAACAGTTTTACACCAAAGTGTTCTTTTTGTGTTTGTAACTGACAAAGAATACTAATTCATTCAAATTTTTAATTAGCATGTCTTAAAAATTCCACTAACACTGATTGCTATTTCTTTTGGCTTATTGAAAAAAAAAAATCTTGCGAACGTATTTTATGATAGTTATTCTTTTTTTATCTAAAAAGTGTCCATAGAAATGGAAGCATTTACACGTATGTTTCATTATGACTTTTTCTTGTTCTTGATCTCTAACAGTCAGAAATGTTAAAGAAATATTTTTCTTGTTAATATTGCTCAATTCAAATATTTCTGCAATAAATATTGCCTAATTATTGGGTGCACAAAAAAACCTCACAGAAACAAACTTTTATGAGCAAAATCATTCTTTTTTTCATCTAACTTTCATGACACATTCCATGGGTCACAGCACGCACGCAAACGAAAACATGAGATCAAGACAATAGTCTTAATTGAAGTGATCCGTAACTAACGAGGGAGGTATCCGAAGTGATTAATCGGTTTTGAGTTCAAACTCTGTGCATAAGGTAGACCCCAGTAAGGTGCGAAAAAATTCAAAAGGATAAGGGCCCATAGGCCTTTCCTCCAGAGTTATAGTCATTTTACTGGAATTTTAGCCTATAGCATGGTATATACTAACAAATC